GCGCGGGGCGGCCCTGACCGCGCTGCCGGGGCAGGTAAACAGGGCAGGGCTCCGGCAGCGCCGCCCGCGCCTGTTCCGGCTGCGGCTCCTTGCCGGGGCGCCCGCCCCGCCCGGCACTGCGGTCGCGCCTGCGGCGCCCGGGAGGACGCAACGGGGCTGGCCGGGCTCAGCCCGCCGTGCTCGGGCGGCCCCGGCGAGCGGACGCCCGTGGGGCAGCCCCTTMTGGGGAAGCCTCGGAGCGGCTGCTGCCATAGCGGGCACCGCGCTCAGGACGGACCGCGGGGGCTCAGCACGGCCTGGCGGGGCCTGCGCTGAGCCGAGCTCGGCCGCGAGGGGCCGGGCCGGGAGCGACGCGGCTGCCCCAGGGCCCGTTCTGCGGCCGCGCGGCARCCGCGTGGCGAGGAACAAGCCCAAGGGCCCCGCAGCGCCTTCCGACGTGGCCGGGGGGCCAGGTTTGCACCTCTGAGAAACACGCGTAGGATTCTGCAGCTCCTGGGATACCCGTTTTATGTTCGGGGGTGGAAGAAACAGAGGGACACACACAGCGATTAAGAGTGAAAAACAGCTTTATTTTGCTTAAAAGTAAACTTAAAGACGTTTCATGAACCAACACTTCTAGTTCATATAAATCATTGTAGAAGGTAATAACCTTTTCTTTATTGCTGGGAGGTTAACAACAGCCAGGTGCAGCCCTTTTCTGTTTAAATGCACACGAATTAGCTTGTGGGTGATGAGGAGAAGGGTGGTGGCTTTACCTACTGCTCAGGCAACTTGCAGCCTGAAAGCTGGTCCCTCTGGAGGTTACCTGAGCCCTGCTCAAAGCCATGGACTTTGATGGACYAGGCTGAAATGAGCCTGTGCCCTCAAAACTGTGTGACAGGCAGTGGACAAGGAAGAGCCACACGTGGTATCTGAGAGCAGCAACGGCCCTCACAAGTGCAGGGGAGCCTGGCAGCCTCGTGGTTACCGTGGGGTTATGGTGCCCTGTCAGAAGTCACCCAAGAGGTGCTGGTGGAAGGGGCCTCCAGGCATCACCGAGCCCAACACCCTATCCCGCAGGGCCGACACCATCTCGGATCAGCCGCCGCTTTGTCCAGCTGCATCCTGAAACCTCGTGAGGAAGGAGACCCATCCCCGCTGCGGGTGACCTGCTCCAGCGCTGCACGACCCTCCTGGGGGAAACACTGTTCCTAAGGCCCAGCCTCAACGCCCAACCCTCCGCTGGTGCCTGCTGGCCTGTTACATTGCCCGCTGCTCTCTGGGAGAGTTTGTCACCTTTTCAACTCAAATTCCTGTGCAGTTGTAATGGTCTGACACCGTAGGGGCTGCTGGAGGAACGAGAGGAAGTGCTGCACAGCTCGAGCTCCTCAACAGGCCTCCGCGGCAACACCTGAGCTCAGCGCTACAGCCGTGGCCAATGCACCTTCCCAAGACCGAGGCTGAGGGATGTTTTACTGGGCTGCAGAGCCCCAGGCAAACCTATGAGGGAGCCTTTCCCAGGAAAAAGGACAGGAGTAAACGCCGGCTGCTCTGCTGGTCCTTGGGCTGCTTTCCTCCCTAGTTCTCTTAGCCAACATGGCCCTGCCTCTCGTTCTGTGGCCCCAGCGCGAGCCCCCGGAGGAGGGCAGAGCTGTCCCTTGTGAGCTGGCACGAGGCAAGCACCGTGGTGGAGGCACCCAGCCGCGCCGCCCCGCGCTCGCGCCAGCCTGGGACCCTCGGCTTCGGAAAACATCCGGCTAGCAAGCGGAGGAGACGCACGAGGAACAGGGCAAAGCGGCTTGTGCGGAACGGGTCCGGCGCGGCCAGGGAAGGGATGGTGTTGGCGCCTGGACGAGCCCCGCCGCCCGTTCCCCTCGGAGCACGGCGGGAGCCGCGCAGAGCGCCGCACGCTTTCGCCGCGCGCCATTCCCCGGGTGCTCGCAGCGCCTCGGCTTCCTTCGGGTAGCGCCTCGGCAGCGCGGCGAGCCCGCGCGGGGCTGCCTGCTTCCTGCCGCGCGCCGGAGCCTTCTGAGAACGCTTCTCATCCCGGCCCTTATCGGCGGCGATCAGCAACCGAATCGGGGCTGCTTTCGCTCCTCTCCTGCCGCTGTTCTTGCCAGCGCCGGCGCCGACGCGTCGCTGCCGCAGTGCTCGCCGTGGGGCGCGGGCCCCCGTGCGGCAACACGCGCAGACGGCGGCGGCTCCGCTCGGCCCGCGCTCTGCTCCCTGCCCGGCCCGGCCTCCTCCCTTCTCTTCCTTATTAAAAATAAATGAGCGCTGCTGTGCAAGATTCAGAGCCTCTTTGCCGTAGGCGTTTGGAACCTGAGGAATGAGGGGTCGGTGGTGTGGGAGCCTGGGGCGGCCAGGCAGGCGCCCTGCTGCTGCCCTGCGGGCACGGGGCGGACTGCGCTCTCCGTGCCGGGCCCTTCCCGCTCGGCACCCTTCGGCGCCGGTAAGACCCTCCGGGCGCCGTGGGGCCCGGCCTGGCCGCCCGTGACGAGCCGTGGGGCCGGAGCGGGGCGCGCAGGGCAGGGCCCGCGCGGTCAGGGACGGAGGAGCAGCTCTGCTCGCCACCGACGCCTCCGGCCCCACGTAGCCAGCGTCGCCGTCACCGCGTGGGCCGGGGGCAGCGCCCCAGGCACCCCCACGTGGGGTGTCATCCCCACGGCRCCGCRCRAGGCTTTGTGCCCCGCTTGCACCCRCGACCTCACGCAAAAACCCACAAACGTCCCCCTGGCTCGTGGCTCTGAAAAAAAAAGGGATTTTTTGCTTGTTTCTTTCATTTAAAGASTATCCAGGATGGTTCCCGCTTGAATCTTCCATTATCCTGGTGAATGATTTCCAAAGCAAACTAAGGATAAGGCGGCAGCCTCCCCACCCCTGCTCACAGCACATCTTTCTTTTCCTGTCCTGTGCAATGTTTTCYGGACTGCTAAAAGAATTCCTGGTCTGCTCATTTTACCCAAACTCTCTCCTCGCGTCACTCCCTGAACGCCCCCGACTCCCCTCCTTTCCTAATCCCAGTCCGTGCTTGTTCTTCCTCAAAAGCCCGGCTCAGCCAGGCTCCCAGGTTCTTGCCCGCTCTCCCCCACGCTCCTCCTGCAGCCTGGGCGCAGCCTCCTGCCAACCACGCACAAGCCCAGCTCCCTGCCAGGYTCCTCCTAAGGCTCCCTTGCGGAAAGTGAAGTGACAACAGATAAAATTCCTGAGAATCCTGTCAGCAACACCCATTAACTGGGTCTTCCTGCTCCTCTGTTCCCACTGCCCGTGTCTTTTTGTCCATTTGGAAAGGAGTGCTGGCACATGCTGAATTTGAGAGCTGCATTTACCCGCTATGGTCCCCATGGCATCCCCTTATACACAGAAAAAGCAGAAATGTAAAAATTAAATCCAAAGTGTTTTGAATACACGTATATACATACAGATATTAAGAGTATATACGTGTGCAGTCTATATAAATAGATATATACACACATATATAAGTGTTTGCACACTTCTTATAATATTGATAATAGTATTGCTATGGCCAGCCAGGTAAAGGAAAGCCCGTCCACATTAGGTTTTTCATTATGGCAGAACACAAATAAGAAATTAAATGCATTCATATATCAAAGAAACTCTCAGTTGAAATAAATACTGTGCATTTATTTACCTCTGAACAGAAACAGCTCCCCCACAACACGATGTTGTGGTTTTGAATGTCTTTAGATTTGGATGCCCTTGTAACTGCATATATATATCCTGGATAGACAGGTGTATTTAAGAGTTAGGTGTCCTTGATTACAGGCTTTAATTTTCTTGAACAAATTGTTAGCTCAACCAGTTCAACTGGTCAGCCTGATAACAAATCTAACACTGTAGCACTCGCTCCCTCWGTACATAAACATGTACAAAACCAGCCAAATACTCTGCCAGTTGAGCAGTCCCCTGCACAGCTTTGCTGCTTTTTGAGGGATTTATCTCAGACAAAACTAATGCGACGTCTTCTCCAGCCCATGCTCACCCAGAGCACAAGTAAATCACACGGACTGGCTCACTGCTACAGGGCCCTGGCTCACGCAAGAGGCAGCCCGGCGCTTTTAAACCCAGCTTGAGGAGCCCAAACCGCCCCTGTGTCCCGGGGCCGAGCTGTGCCGCGCRGCAGCCGCAGCTGAGGCCGTGGGAACTCGCTGCGGCTCGGGCGGATTCCCACAGACGCAACCTGCTCTGTGGGGGTTTTTCCAAAGGCGCGCGCGGCAGGCTCGGAAAATCCCCGGTAAATTATCCTAACGTCATCACAAGAGAGATTAATCCCAGGCTATTAGTGAGATCTCACCGGGGCGCTACATCTTGCCTTTGCTGTGAGCGACGTGAGCATCCTAGGGACTTCAAGCCGTCTCCATCGGGAAGCATTCTGCATTTCCTAACCTGTATCCCCCCTGAGAGAGAAGCCGTATGAGGGGCAGTCCATCGGCACAACTCGCTCCTCGCTCACCTCACACGCACCAAAACGGCCCAGGAAAGCTCTGCAGTGGGGGAAACCAAGCTCTGTCCCAGCTCGAACACTTGAATCTTTCTTCTGCGACTCTGGTCCGAAACAGGAACTGAGCTGGCTTGCAGCAGGGACCTTCCTCACTTTTTCGAGTGGAAATCACTATCTGAAAAGACTTTCTGAGCGACACCAGCTTTCTCAGACGTCAAGGGGAGTTCTCAGCTGACACCATCACGCCCTGGGTTTTACCTCTGCTGTTGGAGCACGTTTGCTGGCATGCCCAGCAAAATGGGGATTCCACACGGACGTGCCCTCTGGATGCCTCATAGAGCCCTAGCTGTRTAAAGGGACTTAGGCTTTGAGAATCCCCATGTCCCGGGCTGCCCCTGTGCAGGTTTTCAAACCCCACGGAATAAAGGCCAACGTGTCCTTGCTGCTGAGGTGGGCAATACCCCAAAGGGCACTYGTCATGCTTAACTCACACCGGCCTAGATGCTAAAACACCACTATTTCCTATGAATAAATGTTTAATTCTGAAATAAYTCACTACCCTTCATAGTCACCTGTTATAAAGGAGTAGTGCAGGAACAGTCTGCAAATTTCCAAAGCAGAATCTGGAGCTGTTTCAGAACATTGAGCTGATTTGCACATACAAACTCCTGGGTTTTTCCTTTAGAAGAGATTCTTACATTAGTCCTTCCTATGCCAACCAGTTTCCAGAGCTGTGCAGGAACAGAAATGCCCCTGACTCGCACAGAAGAAGCGCTACTCGGCCTCCCAGGAGCAAAACGTTGCCCTCCCAAAGCAGACCCTGCCTCCACAACACTACCCGGGAGCAGGCCGAACCAGGAGCAGGCTGCTCAAAGCCCAGGGACACACACACTCATCCCAAGCAGTTTCTGCTATTCGCTTACCAGGAAATATTAAAGCAAACCCACAGTACACTGATTTCACGATCAAGGGATGTCATGTGCCTGCAGATGACAGCATCTGATGCCGTTTCTGGGGGAGGATGCGAGTCCACCTGAAAAATTTCTTCCATTTTCACCAGCCAATCTATCCCACCCCAGATCTCCCTGTCCTGTAATTTCCMGGTTCATCTTCCAGACCACAGTAAGACTGCACAAACAGGTACTTTGGTGATTTGGATCTCCAAAACATTCTTCTCTGCTCTGGCACTCTTACACCACCTTCCTTCTTCAGCACCCGCCGCTGCCTTCGCTCCTCACCGACTCACACGGTGCTCTCAGTGTCCGCGTGCAGGAAGCACGTGTGTGTGTGTGCACGGACRCGGAGAGCCCACTACACACACTAAGGGACAGGGACACAAACATACATGAAAGGCTTAAGGGGCAGATCCATTTCGTCAGGGGGTTGCAGTCTGGAATGTCCCATCACTTCAGCTTCATTCTCCAGAGATTCCTCTTCCCTCCTCGCCAGACTGCTAAGCTGGGCCCTGGTGAGGGGATYGTTGCTGGGCTCCTGCAAGCGGCTCCCGTGTTAGCCTGAATAAAACTCTCTCCAGGTTAATATTCCAGTCTGTGATCAGCAGTTAAGCGTTGCTTCCGACAGTGAGGATTCAACAAATGCAGGGACATCCACACGTTTGACAGTAGAAAACTAGAATTATATAGAAAAGTTAGCTTTTTTTCTGGTTTTCTATAAGACAGCAGGTAGCCAGGTCCAAAAAAGAAAGCAGCGCATAGGACACTGAGCTTACATCAATTATGTTATGGAAATGTTGGACTCAGCCATGGAAGTCACTCAAATGCTCTCAGTTCTGATCTCACTGTATCATTCAATCACCTTTATTGCTTCCAGTGAAGACCTTCATGCCCTGCAACTGAAGGGCCATCTACTCAGTTTGTAAGATCCATATTTACAGTGGCCGCTTACCACAGCTGGCAGTATGCATATAAAAYGTCTCTTATCCTATGTGTGTGTTATGTGCTGAATGACAACTTTTATTTAAAAAGGTACTCAAGAAATAAAACATTACAGGCATTAATAAAGCTTTCTGAAGAAAGACATAATATTCCCATAACCCTGCACTGAGTCGGAAAGGAAGTGATCTTTAAACACCTTATTACTGTAACCAAAAATCAAGTACTGTAAAAATAACATGTAAGCTGGAGGAATTAAACCGGTAAATGAAGAAAATATGATTTTTGTTGGCAGATAAACGTAGCTTTTTGTAGCTGTTGTAGCTTCTTTCCCAAGTCATTAAGCCTGACAACATGTCTAACAATGATTCACAAGGAAAAAAAACCACCTTTTTTTTCTTTAAATAAATGTAGATGACATCCAGTAGTAAGTAGAAACCCTGGTTATCTGCAAAGGGGAGACAGAGCACAGCACCGGCCGTGACGGCTCGGGCACGGATGCGCTCACGGCCGCCGCCGCCCGGCGTCCTCCCGGCTGCCTGCGGGACCGGGACGGCGCCCGCGCTCCCCGCAGGAACAGGCGGCTCCGGGGCTCCCGCCACTGAGCCGAGCCCAGCTCCGCCGCGCGGAAGCCCTCAGTGCTGCAGCAGAAAGTTGGTGGCTACGTTTAAGTCATTATTGGAGGCCCGCAGAGCTTCTAGGGCGTCTCCCCTGGAAAATCCCATCTCCATGAGTCGTGCAACCTGCCAAAGGAAGAGCAGAAACTCGCTTTTAAACCAGGGTTGTACGGAGGCTGTGTTAGAGAGGTAACAGAGAGAGAGAGAGAGGCCCTTCCCACTGCGGGTCTGTGCAAAGCCTTCCTAAACAGCAGAGGGGGCCTCACCACTTGGCTCCATGAAGGTGTGTTGGGTCTGGCTTATTTCAACGAGCCTCAAAGCTCTGCGACAGATCAGACACAAGAGCTTTCTGGTAGTTTATTCTGAATATTATTTGGTAGTTATTTTCTGAAAACTGCCCGCCTGCCTGTTTCTAGCTGACCCACTTGGGGAGAAGGCTAACACAGAAAGGAGGCTGGTTACCTGGTGGGGCCTTTGGAGGGCTGRCACTATCTCCACAAAGGTGGCACTGACCAAAACAGAACAGATAGACAAGCCTGCCTATATATACTTAACCTGACTCCTTAAAAAGAACTGCCTCTTCAGGCTCGTAACAGTGACAAAGCCAAACATTCACTCCGGGTGATTTTAAAAGAAATCCAAACGCCCTGAAGCAGAGGCAAAGCAGTATTTTAAAAGGTTCAGTCACATGTGCTGAAGGACTCTAGATGTCATCAAAACAGCACAGGTCACATCTGAGCATCTGACATCTGAGGGAGGACTAACCTGCAGGCGGTCACAGTAAGTGATTTTGGCAATCAGCAACTGCTCAGCCAGCCCTCCTGATGCTGTCACATACTCTTGGCATCTGGCTGTTTATCCCGTTGCTAGCCCAGGCTCCAATCATCAARCGAATTTCCACAATGTAGATACAACCATATTTGAGTGCAAAGGGCAATGCAGACACACCAGTCCCATCTCCACCGTGCTTTCCCTACGCGGCTGCATTTCAATCTAAAGTTTATCTCAAAGCCGTGGTTCTCACTGAAGTGTGCTATCGCTGCAGGGAACTAAAACTGAGCAACTCAGGAGAAAGGCAGGCAGGGGGCAGCACGTGGAACGCAAAGGACTCTCGCTCCGCRGCGCCGGCGTTCCGGACACCTGGGAGCAGACACGGCCCGGGAGCGGGCACGGCAGCTCCTGGAGCTGGAAGCCAGGGGTTGTCCGGATCCAGCACTGCTCTTCCCTCACAGGCTCCCACCAAGACTTCCTTGTAGACATGGAAGTGGCAGCGGCTGCTGGCACAGCCGGAGGAGCCTCCTCCGGGCGCAGCGGCAATGCGCGCTTCCCAGGAGCCCAGAACACAGCGCTTGGCTTGGAAATGTAGCGGGCGGTGAAAGCCCTCGGCCTCTGGGCACGTTCGCCCTCTTGCTCCTTACAGCCCGACCGGGCTGCTCATYGTCTCACAGCAAGAGCCACGAGCTGCTGCTTCAGACACCTCGCAACAAAAACCCAGCTTGCAGCTGGGTGCCCTGACCAGCGACTGCCTCCAGGCTCCAACTTCTGATTCTTCAGCTGAGATTGTGTTTTTATGGGAAAGAGGCCAGGCAGAATAAAAAAGGGCCACCACAAAAATATACTTTAGAAGAAAGGTTCTTAACTGTGCTTGCCATGAATTATCACTTTAAAGAAGTGGTGGAGAGAAGTGCAATGCTCCCATTTACTGAAACATCCAGTGGGCATCATAGGGAATAAATTTTAACAACAAAAARCTCTTTTCAGCTAAATATGTTTAACCACAGAAACTGAATCTAGCTCCAGCAAACAGCAATGTAAGTTAAGGTACTTAACCTACAAGAAAACGAGAGATTGTTGTAGCTTGAAAATTTTAATCTGAGGAAAAAAATTCCTGCATTTTTCCTAAGAAAACTTACATTGTTAATTAACACTATCCCAAGAACTCAAGGTGCTCAGACTACACTTTTCCTTTCCCAGTAACCAGGCGGCCTTCCCAATGATGGCAATCTGCTCATCTCTACAACTCCGTATTATTAAATGTAAGCATGTACTGAAACGCTTTAATAAATCTGGGCCTAAAGACTTTGGGTCAGAGGCCAGCATAGGCCAGAGTCATTTTATTAGTTCCAGCCCAACAGTAAAAGTTTCAGTAAGCAGTTTGTCAAATTAAAGAAAAAAAGGAAAAAAAAAGAAAAGACATCAGGGAAACCTTTCTTGTCCATTCCACAGCTGGCACTGAAAAGGATTTTAGGCTGGTCAGAGATAAACTTCAGGTCTGGCTGGTCTAAGAAGCTGTTCTTAGGATTATTTTATGGTTTGGTTTTGCCTCCTTTCTCCAGCCCGGCAGACATTCAGTCAAAACCACCACTGCAGTTACAGTTTTGAACATCCTGGATGCAATTTAATGCTGAATCAAAACTAGAAATCAGATCATACTAAAGATATCTGTTTGAGTCTATCTCATTTTAAACTAACCAGAAGACAACAACATGGCATTAGCAAGTCTTAAAGAGAACAATCTACCTCCAGAAAGAAAGAGAAAAAGAGAAACCCTCCTTTGAAAGCAAGAAAGGTGACCAAATCACTGGCTAAAACCTGCCACCCTGATCACACGCGCACACACAAATCCTGAACACAAAACCCAAGATTTTCACTTGTTAAATTTCCTGGTAAGACAGGAGAGCACAGCTACAAACCAAAGAACAGAAAGTGTCTGAATCTGTAGAAAGCAGAAAGACACAGATTTCTTCATGGTATCAGAATGTGAGATCAGTCAACTATACATCTCTATATATATTTATATATACATAGACACACACATATACATACACACAAAAGACAAAAAGCTGCACATAAATGCAAATATTTTCAGGCTAATCTTTAATTCTAGTTTGAAAGGTAAGGACTACTCACTATATTGTGACTCTCACCTGACATCCTAATTTGTGCTATTGTAGAGAAATAAATTCAATCAGCGGAGGAAACTCGTGAACAGTTTTTAAYGACATTTTAAAACACAAAAATATTTACCTGCTCTTCAGAAACCTCTGTAGGTGGAGGTGTTTCTTGATCAGACGGGCGATGATCTTGGTAATTTGCATTATGTCTATGACGYAAAGGAGGAAACAGTCTGTTCCAGTTAATCATCCCACCCTAAAATCAGACATTAATGTTAGTCTTCTCAAAAATAAATATATGTTTTTAAAGAAAAAAAGATAAAATAATACATAATATAAATACATAATATGAAAGGTCAACCTTTAAGCAAGATACTTTAGTTTAAATAACAAAAACTCAAAAAGCTCTAGTTCTCAAGGGCCAGCCCAAGTTTTAGGATACCTGGGATAGACTTCCCATGTAAATGATTATTTCTGTGGCATCAATGAGTCTGCTAAAGACTCATGGACCTTCACAACTGATGCTAATGCATTAAACAGCACTGCAAAATCTGGCTTTGTTCCAATGCCAAAACATTTTGTAACTACACACTAGTAATCAAAACACAGAGCAGCAAGGTAGGTATGGTGTAAGTCACAGAACTCGAAACTTCATCATCCCAGCTGAGGAAAAGTACTATAAAAAATAAGAGACTTAGAATCCAAAATCCAAATAATAAAGTACGAGTGATATAATTATACATTTCACTTTATTAAAGGAATATTTTTGAAGGGATTTTGTGCCGCATTACAACCACAGCCCCCGCAATCGCCCCAAATCTCTGCATTCCTGCAGCTTTTTSTGCTCGGGTGCAGCCCTTGTCCTCCTCCCCCACTCCCTCGGTTTCTATGGAGAAGGTCCCCCTGCCCCTCCGTATATAAAGSACACGGGCTTCCTTCCTCTAGCTGCTCTATTTTCGTGCTGGASCGTCGCTTCTCAGAAGACCTTCCTCTTCAGAGAGGTTTTTCTCCTCTGCTCTCGGCTAGGGCTCTTCCTGCCTTTATGCCCTCCCGGAGCACGTCGCGCCCGCCGGACTATCGGCTCGGCGGCGGCAGCCCAGCCTGCTCCCTCCCAGACAAAAAATAAAGTTTCCTTGATTCCGTCTCCCCGCCCTTCCCTCCGGTTTCTTCCTTTGGGCCTGGGGAGGAGAGCCCGCCGGGGGCAGTGCAATTGCACAGGCCAAGGCAGGGCGCCTTCCCGAGAGCTGAGGCGCTGCCCCGTGAGGCGCTGCCTCGGGAGGCGCCTCTTGAGGAGCCTCTTCCAGCCCCTCACGCTACACGGCACCTCACCTTCCGGGCAGATGGGACTATCGAGGAGCTACTGCCAGCTTCCAATATACATCTTCCACTGTTAATGGTTCGGAATTGGAAAAAAATCTCATGTATCTATACTTCTGTTTTTCACAATATATATGTAAGCACTTGCTCACGGCCACCAAGTTTAAATGAAGGYTTCCGTATCAGCCTTGAGTCAGCCAAAGAGAAAAGGAGAATTAGTTGCTAGTTTAAACCCAGGGATGGATCTCAGAGCTACTCCTGACACCACTSTGCGGCTTCTCCGCGGTCCTGGAAAATCACATGGCCTGTAACTTCCCCATCCACAATTTCCCCTAACTTAAAAATATGTTGAGTTTTAATTCATCAGTTTTGAATTTCCAGAAGTGCCCGAAGCTCTACAGTTCAGCAGAAACTGTGAATTAATTCTGCCTATTAGCCTGAAAAGGCCTAAGGGTGAGGAAACTGCCCCTCCAAGGGCCACCCAAACACCACTGGCCATCTGAGAAACGCCAGCAGACCGCGACACAGTTCTCTGTAGCACCAGCTCCAAAGCCRTAACATATAATAAATATGAAACTCAAAACCTACAACATATGTATTTATCAGTACCCTGGTCTATCTGAAGATGGAACCCGAGGTACCTTTCCAGCTGTGCTCGCAGCTTCACTACCAAACCACCAACGCCAGCCTGGTTTCGCACCCTCCGAACCCCCTGTCACGTAACACTGTCACACAGCGCTGCAGAGAGACCTGTCTGCCTCCCCACCCTCATAACGCTCAGCACATTTTTAGCTAATACACACCTAATTCATCAGTTCCAACAAAAAGAGACCCAGCAGATTCACTGCTAACTGATCAGTTTTGCAGCTTTGTAATAAAGATTTTGGTAAACTACAGATAGGCACTGATGAAAACACATTTCCATGAAAAAAAAATGTTCTTTCCCAGAAATAATTGATAGACTAGAAAAAAGTACATCAAAAAAGCAGTGGAAAATCCTAATCATTTGCCCTCAAAATATTTCAATTACTGTTCAAAATTGTGACAGCCATAACCCTTAAATATATGAACAGTGTAGAATATCTGAAATACAACCATAATAAGTATTAGAGGCTCAATCTCTGCAGAGCTCTGTGAACACTCACGCTCAGGACAAACCCCAAGACACTCTAGGGGGTCATCTACTCATCTGTGCCTCACCTTACACACCGCATCAAAGCTTGGCACTTCGTATGTCTTGATCCTTAACTGCTAGGAATTTTTTCCCCTTCCAGACTTGCCTCTCCTCAGATGCTGGATACACACACAGGCASATTCCCAAGAGCACAGATTTGGGGAGCTGTAGCTAGAGGTGCTGCTGGCCACCCCATGGAGTGCCCTAGGAAGTGCAGCTGAGGTCAAAACCCTGGCAGAGCTTTCAGATCCACAGAGGATGGAGACCGAGATCATGGATGGCAACGGTGTTAGGAGCTTAGAGGCAACCTTAAATCATCACAGCACAAATACTTGAAGGTCTGAGAATGCAATTTGCCAAAAAAGGACTCAGCAAAAATGTATTACGTAAGTCTCACAAATTCCAGTTAAAAACAAGCAGAAAGAGTTTTCCAGGCCAATAGTTTGCCTTATTTTACCAAAATTATTTTGCAGATCCCTTATCCGTTTCCACAGAAGGTTATGACCACACTAACATGCCTGACAAGAGCTCAGACGACTTCACATGAAGGTACYCAATCTAATGAATGTATTGAATCAATGCTCCTAAACCATGTGTGAGTTCCCGTTGTGAATTAGCACTCTTGCATATTCCAGAACACTTCAAGTCTACATCATCCTGTGCCAGCAGGGAACAGCTCCCACCCCTTACAGCCATCCCATCTCTACAGCAGATTTGCCTTGGACTAACTGGCCTGGTCCAAAGTAGGAGCAGAAGAGGAGCCAGAGTTGGCAGCCAGGCCCCTGGGAAGCTTCCTTGTGCAAGTCAAGGACTTGACACTATGAACCCACTCTTCCCTCCCATTCAGTACTCTGGATAGTAGGGGCTCACCATTCTATCCACTCTGCTTATATCTGCTTTCTTAGTCCATTTTTCCCCAAATTTTGAGGTTGCTGAATGGTTTACTATAGCAAAAGAAAAATTTATTCTCATGTCCAATATCACTACTGCTTTGTGTGCGCTCCTGGATCTTCCTCTCAAGCAGTATGTTTAAACAGCACCAAGACAGCACCACTTTATTTTAGTAAGGAGAGAAGGTTCCCATCAACTTGTATAGTGAGGTTCCTGTAGTAGGATGGTGTGAGGAATTTCTGGACTCCAAGGCAGTTGTCATACTTGTCTTATTAGTGATAATCAGAAGGTGCGTTTCAGAAAATCCTGGTTTCTGATACTATTAGAGAACGACAATCACTGAAAAAATCAGTCTATGAATCTATTATTCATAGAAATACTTCAAAGAGGTGATGGGGCCCTTATTTCTGTTTGCTACAGCTGTCTGTATGGCAACAGGGAAAACACTTGACAAAAAGATGGTTTCATCAGTTAGCTGAACAGAGGAGCGATGACACATTCAAAGCTTGGCCTATAAGCTTTTCTGCCTCCTAAGGATGCCATTCTGCAATTTAAAAACAACAACATCAACAAAAACAGTCTCCTTGGATATTTCCTATTTCTCTTAGCAGTGCAGGACCAGGTGAATGGGGTGTTTGTGAATSCTTTGCCACTGGCTGATAGCAGAGAGTTCCAATCATTTGTGTGGGTGCTGCTCCCAGATAGATCATTACCAGAAGGGGATGAGGAGCATACTGGTGATGCTGGAACTCACCCACCACAGCAAAGTGACAGGTCAGTCACATACTCTTGGTGACAAAAGAATGAGATCTAAAAATAGGATGGGTGAAGGGAAGAAGGTCAAGGCAGCTCTACCGGCACAACAAAAGAGAACAGGGAATGCTGCACTCGTGCATTTCTCTTGGCTGGCTGCCAGTGCTTTACATACTGACGCTGTGCTTCGCCACGTCACATCCTTGATGTCCATCTCCTGCGTTTTTATGGTGTCTGGAACAATACTGTTTACATATAGGAATAAGGAAGCGACGTTCATACCAGTCTAGAGCAAGCAAATATTTCTGGCTGCACAGCTTGCTGAAGCCCCAGTCAGCCATTTGGTTGAGGTTCATTGCCTCACTCTTTTGGAAAGCGCGCTACCTGTTTTGCATAGACACGCTTGCGGTGGCGATTCTGCAAAAGCACTCCTTATGCAATGCTTGAAAAATAAAAAYGCCAGATTTCATGATGTCATTTCATAATGTCACTTTAGTAGCTATCACATTTGTATGCATTTTAATTAATTTCAAAAACAGTTTAAGAAAATGCTTTATAAAAGTCCTCGTGAAAGGGATGCATGCGGTTAAGATATTTCGATAATGTTATCTCATATATATGGTTAATGCCAACTTGCCATCTGTTTGCACAAACAGGAAGCACCTCCTGATATCTGTCCTGCTCACCTTTTCTTAACACAACAACCACAGAGAAAGAAAGAAAGAAAGAAAAAAAAAAAAAAAAAGGAAATAGCTTTGCATTTCATTTTCTAAAATAACACTTAAAAAGTTTACTCCTCTGCATAGGCGCCATGGTGCAGGCATACATATTGTCTTACTTATTTTGACATGACACTTTGTTAATATATATATATACACACATATATGGAAAGCTCTTTTTTTTTCCAGAAATAAGATTTTGTACTAATTATTAACTCTAAAGTATGTACACTAATGGGCTACATAAAGAAAAAGTGTAGCCATGTTCTATTTTAGGATGCTATACCAATACTTACTGCCCCAGTATCGAACACTCAAAGCCAAAAGCGAAATTTTCAGTGGACGTGCAGTCTAGCCTCTCTCTTTTTGTGAGCTCAAAAGCCATGCGGGTTTTGTTTATTC